TTAAGAAACTAGTCGCCAAGGTAACTTGAGCTGGACCCGGTTTTCAATCCTCTTTATCATGGAAAAAGAGTACTTCATTAATACAAAAACATGACCTTCAAGAGACAAACCAAAGAACAGGGAGATAAGGGGGAAATTCTTGTACACAGGAGCAGACTTAACTGAGCCTATTGACTTTCTTAGGTGAATTAATTTCGTTTCCACGCTTAGTTCCCCGAAGAAAGTGATATGTTCCCAAGTAAGACAAGGCGCACATACAAATACCCACGTATCGGTGATCTGCAACCTTCCATTCACAACCCTAAAATCCAAAATGCTCCAAACACCAGCTCTGCTTCTGTCCCTCACTTGGCAGCATACTTGACCTGCCTTGAACTCATTTGGTGGTAAAACCTGACCTAACTGACATGAGACTATTTATAGTCATTATTTTCCTCATGGAGTATAAATATTCATGTACTTCACTATAGAGAGTGCAGGCATTTGATGGTAAGATAAAGCAGTAGCTGTGGAAGTTTCAGGAAAGGGTGTGTAGATTTGTATAGAAAATGATGATAGGCCTGAAATACATTCTTACCTCAAGAGCATACATGTCTTACGACACATAATAGCAACTATAATAAGACAGAACAAACACTAATGTTAAAGCCAAAAGTTTTCCTTTTCCTTTGAGTCAAAAGTCTCACTGTGTAGCCCAGGCTAACCTCTAAAGCTCAGCCCTCCTGCCTGTCTCCTGAGTGCTAACATTACAGTCATGTTATACCATACAAAGCAGAATCAAGCGTTTCTGAATTACGGGCACAGTTGATCTAGATTCTTTGAAGGATTCTTAAGGTCACAGTCTAGTGCTCTGACTTACAAGAAACTAGGACTCTCAGACTCACATGACTTACAACAAACAAGTTAGTTCCTGCTACCTTCACCCATGACCTGCCCGGTCCTAAAGAGACTAGGGACAAATGGCCAAGTGTGGTGCGGATTAGCATGCTCACCTCCAGGCTCTCTCAGCACAAGTACCTGTTAGGAAGTACGTGCTGACATCCCGGCTCCCCTCAGCTCTTCTCACCCGCCCCTACATTAATTTCTCCAGCTCCCGGCTTCCTTCCCTTCCCCCAGCTTCCTCTCATTCCTATACAACCCTGCCATTTCGGCCATGCGTTAGCTCGCTCTTTCTCTTCCTCTCCGACCTCCTCTGGTGGCCTGGGTCAATCTACTGGCCATGTTCAGTCTACTACTTTCTCTCTCTCTGATCTGGACTCTTCCAGATGCCTCTGGATACACTCTCCCTCACAGCTACAACAAACACCTCTTCACCATACCTGAGAGATGTGTCATTTCATTCAGACCAGGATGTCCCCCTATGAGGGCTCACCCTCTAGACTGTCACCTCTGGATCCAGCTGTGTGCCTCTATTTTATGAGAATTCCCAAGGGTTTCCCAGAAAGTACTTGGCTCGATTTAGAGGGGAAAATAAATTACTTAGTAGATACCTCCTTTGATTTTATTTTTCCTCAAAATTTGGGCCAGTGTTCAAATGGCTTCTTAAAATGCAACCACCTGGGGCTGGGGAGAGCGCTTCATTAGTACAGCGCTTGCTGACATGCACTGAGCCTGGTGCAGATCCGGCGCCAGCAAGGTGTCTCACAACTGTAATCCCAGCACTAGGGAGGTCGAAGCAGGAAAATCAGAAAGAAGTTCAAGGTCATCCTCGGTACGTATGGAATTGGAGGCTAGCCTGGGGTACATGTGATCCTGTCTCAAGCACACAGGGTGGGGGCACTCCAGCAGAGAGAGGCTGGAGAGATGGCGAAGCAGTTCAAGAGCATGTACTGCTCTTCCAGCAGACTGGAGTTTGGACCCCAGCACACATACTGAACTGCTCACATCACCTGTCACTCTCCAGCTCCAGGGGATCTTACACACACACACACACACACACACACACACACACACACACACACACACAAATAAAATAGTTTTTAAAAAATACCCACATTACCTCTAACACTAAGAGGGGAAAACAATGAACTCACAATTTAATGATTTTCTTAACCGTTATATGCAATGATAACTAGTTAACAAGTTGGTGCTATATATATATAACCATATGATAACATTGAGAGTAGCATTATCTATGACGGTTCAACAATGGCTTGTTACGGGCTACCAACCGAATGAAGGGCTTCAGACACTTAACTCCCCCTAGCAACCCTGGTAAGAATATGTTCTTAACGCCGGGCGGTGGTGGCGCACGCCTTTAATCCCAGCACTCGGGAGCCAGAGGCAGGAGGATCTTTGTGCGTTCAAGGCCAGCCTGGGCTACAGAGTGAGTTCCAGGAAAGGCGCAAAGCTACACAGAGAAACCCTGTCTCGAAAAACAAAAAAACAAAACAACAACAACAACAAAAAAAAGTTCTTGCCTCGATTTTGAAGAAAAGGAAGCTTAGAGAGGTTAGATTGCTTTTCCCAAATCAGACGAGCAAAGTGTGGGCTGCTTGAGAAACCATCAAGCGCTGGGGGTGCAGTTCTGGGGGGTTCAGTCCCCCAGAGGAAGGGGAGGACGCAGTGATGTAATGAGACAGCTTAGGGATAAGGGCATGTGCTGCCAAACCTGAGGACCTGAGTTTGATCCCTGGGAACCACGAGGTGGAGAGAGAGAGAGGGAACCACACGCACAATGTGACACAGGTGTACCCACCCACATAACAGGCACATAACATAAATAAATGTAATGAAAATCTTTTTTTAAAAAGACTAGAAAGTGTTATTATGACTAGGGCACCAAAGCCAACTGTCTTAACTTTGAAGCAAATGTCTGCCATGAATTAGCTGTGTTAGCGTATGCAAATACCGCAGTTGCATAACCAGTAAAGTGGGTAAAATTATAATAACTATCCCTATCAGACGATAGTGTGAAGAATAAATTAGTATGTAAGGCAATCAAGAGAATGCCTAGTAAGGACTATGTTCGTTATTATCATGGTTATGATTAGCTGGAACCGTCAGTCAAACCCACATTCCATCTACCCAGCCCTCCTGCCTCTCCTCCACTGCTCTGTGTAAGCACACCACAGACCTGACACGCTACTCTTCGTTCTCTTATTTAATCTGAACTTTAAGATCTGTGCCCACAAACCGGGCATTGTGGCGCACACCTTCAATCCCACCGCTCTGGATACAGAGGCAGGTGGATCTCTGTGAGTACAAGGCCAGCCTGGTCTACATAGGGAGTTCCAGGCCAACCATGGGCTACACAGCGAGACTCTATCTCAAAATAAAATAAAATAAAAATGTATGGGAGACTTCAAGGCTGTAGCAAATGTATTTTATGTTGTGGTTAATAAACTGCGCTCCCTTAAAAATCAACCAGATTGAAAACATAACCTGGTGACCTCAGCATTCGGCAGGGCTGAGTCGGGAAGACTGCAAACTTCTGGTTAGCCCAAGCAACTCAGTTCAGACTATTTTAAAAACAAAGTCACCCAGAAGCAGTCAGATACTAACATGAAGTTACAACACATGAAATAAAGACAGACTAGAGGTCAGTGCAATACTAAGAAAACATCCCACAATTACAAGCCCACCTGCAAGACTGTTTTTTTCTAGTTCCCTAGAACCACTAAAAACACACTTAGACATGCCATATAATTCAGCCTGTCACTAAACACACGCTTAGTCCGCATACAGTGGCAATGCCTGGTGCTGGGCTTGCGCTAGAGTTACAGACCGCATTTAAACAGATAGCCCCTCCTCTACAGATCTTACAGTGTGGGTGCCGTGGGCACGCGTGTGTATTGTGGCGTTTTATAAAGCCATCCTGTTCATTTTAAAAAACCCTTTAAACCTCTTACTAAATATAAACAACAGGGACAGATTTCAAACCATTTGAAAGCACAACGTTTCTTCCTGTTTCCAGAAGCAGTGTTTTGTCGAATCACACTCCTGTGCCCATCCATTTCTAACCCGCTCATCACCCTTTGCACACTTAAGACAGAGTACCGTATCAGACTGCCAAGAACCAAATAACTGTGAAATTTAAAACAAAGAGTAATTTCAGTCCACAAACGTCCAAGATAAGTCTCCAAAGAAGCACAAAAAAAAAAACATTGAACCTGGTGTGCTTCCCATCTCCCAAACCGGTTGCCTGTGCCCTTTGAATAGTTTACAATCTAACCAAACTGCTTTACTGCACATGAATTAAACTCAGGTCTCTGTCCAAGAAAGACCAGCGCCTTGATCTAAAAAGTATTAGCGTGCCCCATGACGCAAGGGTCTGTGCTGGCTCCCCAGAGGTCCGGGGCGGGAGTCCCAAGGTCGGCAGGCAGCCCTAGTCACCTGACAAGGACCCTACTCCGCTCATCTGAGATAAGCACTCGGTGCCTCCCAGGAGCGTGAACATTCTTACCAGTTAAGGCCTCCACCCGCTGACATACAGCTGTTCAACACAGCAAGAGGGAAAGAGGAAGGAAAAAAAAGTTAAGAAAAAAAAATCTCCCTTTACTCTGCAAAATTCACATGCAAAACTGCACGTGCCTGTTAGACAAAGTCTGAAATCCAGAAGAAACCGGATTAAAAAGATAAGGTGTTTTTGTCAAAGGTAGAAGATTAATAAGGTGGCACCGGAGGACTGGATCTGAAGCAGGGCCAAGGAATGAAGGGTCACTACAGAAAAAGAAAAAAAAAAATACAAACTGCATATGCTAGAAGGGAGTTTTCACCGGCGCAAGGCCTGGAGGGCTCTTGGGGACAGCCCGGGGAAGGAAGGGGACCCGCACACAGGCGCATGGGAGGCCCGGGCGTGCATTGCAGCTGCCGCACCGGAGCCGGGGAAGAGGATGCACGCTGTCGGCGCCCGGGGCTGGTGGGCTGGTTGTGCTGGTCCCCAGGGTGCAGGGAGAGAGGATGGGGAGGCAGGAGGGAGACCCGGGACGCCGGCAGCACGGGGCTAGCCAGGGAGGGCTGCGCACGCGGCTGCAAAGGCTCGGGCTGACGCGACTCACCTCTCCGAACTGGAAAGCCGAGACGATGGTGACCACGACGCCCACGAAGCAGACGTAGAGCCCATACCTGTGGGATAGGCAGGTATAGGTCTGTCTCTGCAGGAGCTTGAGCAGCATCACCCCGGCCCCGCCACCCCACGCCGGGAGGAGCCCGCGCCGCGCCGCGCCGCGCCACCGCCTCAGCGAGCCGCCATCCACGGCCGCGCCGCCGCGCTCAGCTCACAGCCCCCGGTCGCCGTGCATTGTCGCTCCGGCGACCGACAGCCCGCTGGGCTCCACGCCGCGGCCGCCGCTTCCGGGAGCCCGGAGCCCACGCCCTCGGCGCGGCGGAGGCGGACCCGCGGCCCGCAAGGCGGCCGGCGCCGCCCGCGTGGGCCTCCGGGAGGCGGCTTGCGGGTCGCCAGCGCCACCTGGAGGGCGGAGGGGCAAGCGCAGGCGCGCTCCCTCCCCCTCTGCGCGTGCGCTGCGGGCTCTGCCCGCGGGACGCTGCCAACCCGGCCGGACCCACCCAGCTCAACAGGTGACCCACCCACCCGGCTGTCCCCCTGACGGTGCCGCCGAGTCAAAAAGCACGGCTCCTGTCTGAAGTTTGCTCTTGGGACAGATGTGAGTGACCGGGGTTAGGGACCACGTATTCGGCTTGCCCCCAAATGACATCATCTACTCTGGATGTTTCTTCCACGAGGTTTGATCAGTTATAGAAAAACGAAAATCGCTAATCAAGGCATTTACCAAATGCATTTTTGAGCCCACGGGTTAGGCTGGTTGTAGCAAAGCAGGGAAAATTCTCACGGGTTTAGATACTATCTGATGCCTTAGCTTTTGATAGGTCATCTGCCGAGAACATTTTACTTTTATTTTTTTTTTAAACTATGTTTAGTTACTTGTGTATATGTGGGGGGGCGGGGGCGGGGGGAGTGTTGAGAGTCAGTCGTTTCTGTCCTTCTAGCCTGGGTTCAGGGAATTGAACCCAGGTAGTCAGACTTTGAAGCAAGCAGACCCTTTTGAAGCAGGGTCTGACCCTGCTGAGCCATTTCAGGGCTCCTCAAATACAATTGAAAAGTTGGATAGTCACAAGGTTATTAGGTCAGACATAGAGAGAGAATGGCTTTTTGTTTTGTTTTGTTTCTTTGTTTTTCGAGACAGGGCTTCTCTGTCTAACAGTCCTGGCTGTCCTGGAGCTCAAGTTGTAGACCAGGCTGGCCTTGAACTCACTGAGCTCCGCCTGCTTCTGCTTCCCAAGTGCTGGGATTAAAGGTGTGCACCACCCCCACCCAGAGAGAATGGCTTTCAAAAGAACCAAAACTATCCCAAGATAATTTGGCTCTGGTCTGCAACAATGGTGACTGTCCATAATCACAAAGGCCTGTAATTTTGGTTTTGTGCAATCTCTAACACAGGTGCTGTTTTTCTTTATGGGAACTACAACCATGATTTATACAGGGCACTTAGAGAAGATGCTGTAAGGAACCCCACTGCCACCACCCCACCCCACCCCCAGACACCATCATATTGTTTGAGAGAAGTTTGGGGCTAATAATCTGAAACTCAACTTTACTCATTCACTAGATAGATAGATAGATAGATAGATAGATAGATAGATAGATAGATAGATAGATAGATAGATAGATAGATAGATTGATATAGATATAGATATATATAGCTAGCTAGTGCTTCATACCTGTGTTGTGGAATAACCTTTTTGTGCACTGTGACGATGTGTCTGCTAAGGCACCTTCTGATTGGTTTAATAAAGGGCGGAATGGCCAATAGCTAGACAGGAAGAGGTTAGGTGGGACTTCCAGGCAGAGAGAAAACAGATTAATCTAAGCCCAGGAGAGACACCAGAGGGGACAGAGAGGAAGTGCGATATGCAGAAGGAGAGGTAAAAGCCACGAGCCATGTGGCAACACATAGGTTAATTGAAATGGGTTAATTTAAGTTATAAGAGCTAGTCAGAAACAAGCCTAAGCTAAGGCTGAACTTTCATAATTAACAAGAAGTCTCCACGTGGTTATTTGGGAGCTGACAGGTGGGACAGAGAAAGACTGGTTACATGCCTGGTATAATGCAAAGCATCTATCAGGTATGGACAGCTAGAGTTGGTCACTCTTGCCAGGGACGAGGATAAACGCATAAACCACTAGGTATAAAACGAATGTTATGATACAAATAGGGCTTGTACAAGAGGGGAGCCAACGAAGGCATGGCTAATTTATAAATTATTAGCATCAGGCGATTTCCAGACCCAAAAGTAAGGGGGCAATAGGTGAAGGGTTGAAACCTCCAAAGCTGTTCGTTGAAATAAACCTTTATGGTTTTTAAATTGACTGTCTCTGGTATTTGTTACAGTAACAGAGAGCTGACTGACACGGAAGGATATGGGAGAAAAGGCCTAAGGATTACAGAGGATGGGAGAGAGGTACATCCAGCCAGGACTGGCCGTGTTGAAGCTTGAAGGCAAGACAATCAGAGGTGCAGTGAAGTGGAAAACTTGGCAGGGCCTTGAAGATCGTATCAGAAATAAAGGATTCTAACTGGGCGTGATGGTGTACACCTTTAATCCTTTGAGTTTGAAGCCAGCTGGATCTACATAGCAAGTTCAAAGCCAGGCAGGGCTACAGAGTGAGACCCTGTCTCAAGATTAATCGATTAACTTAAAAAAATAAAGAACTTTCTCTTTAAGGCAGTGAGAATGTTAACAAGATCCAAAATATCTGGGGCAAGTTCTGGGGCAGTGAGACCCGTGACAGTGGAGTGGCCAGGTCCAGAATACTAAGTTAAATCTGAATTTGAGAAAAACAGTTCGAGGGCTGGAGAGATGGCTCTGCAGTTAGAACACTGGCTGCTCTTCCAGGGGACCAGGGTTGAGCCCCAGCACCCACATGGTGGCCCACAAACATCTGTAACTCCAGTGTCAGCGGATCCAAAGGCCTCTGAGGTCACTGCACACACATGGTACACAAACATACATGCAAGCAAAAACACCTATACACATAAAATAAAAATAAAATATCTTAAAAGAAAATCAATGTATTTATGCATATATCTAGTATAAGTATGTCCCATGCAATTTGGGGGACATACACTACTTATATATATCTGGACATTTATCTGAGTGCCCTATATACTGATCTGCTGTAGATATCTAAGCCACTTGGTCATAAGAGTACATGTCCATGGTCCTAGGCTACTGCCTGGAAAGACGCAGAGATGTCATAGGCTGCCTACCTGTCCGAAGATGTAAGACAACATCCTCCAATTAAAGTTATCAGAACTAAAGCAGGTCTGTTTCCTCTACACCAGCTTTCTCGATGCATTCAAAATTCAAGGGAAAAGAATTTTCCTCTGGGAATTATAGCCTTAAAAAATTCTCTTTCGAGTGTCTTCTTCACTCATGCTTAAATGAAAAGCCAACATCCAAAGTAAATAAGCCTCCACGAAGAACTGCCCGCTCTGGACCACTTCTGTTTTGTGTGAAGAAATCTTATTTTTGCATGGCCTTTCTTTGTACTAAAAAGAAAAGTGAGAGGGTTGGCATAATTATGGTTCTGATGAATTGAATGAACAGTTTACCAGAAGAGGAACTGGACTGTTAGAGGGTATAAACTACATTTTCAGGTCAAATTCACTTGGAGAACTGTTTGGGCTATCTGGGTTGTTTTTGTACGGGAAACTACACTCATTCAAAAATCTCAGTCTCGGTGAACATGATAGTGTACACCTGTGAAGTACTTGGGATGTTGAGGCAAGAAGATTGTGAGTTCAAAGGTAAGCAAAAGAAAATTGAAACAGAACCCCTCTGTTCTCTATGGTTTTTGAACTGTTTCATTTTGTGTACTCTTTAATTTATCCTCTCTATTACTCCTGTAGTTTTTTGTCTGTTTTGTTAATTGGTTTAGGAGTTACTGTCTTTGTTGAGGGGGGAGAGGCAGAGGGTGTTAAAACAGTGTCTGAGGTGGATTCTAACTCCCAGTGTAGACCAACAAACCTCCAACCCTTACCTTCCCATCTCTCCCTTCCAGCTCGATTACAGGCGAGTACTACCAACCCCACTCTTCCTTCTGGCTTTCCATTTGAATGGTTTGTGCTTTTATCTTTGTGGATTCCGTTCTTTTTCTTTCTTTTATTTTGATGCTCTAGACTGTGTTTCTCAAACTTGATACTTAGTCACCTTTCCCCCAGGATTTTTGTTTGGTGGTGTTGAGAGGACAGAACCCCGGGCCTCCTGCATTGTTTCTTATAAACCTCAAGAGAATACATTTCCCTCTAAGCGCTAATTTTATTGTATCTCACAGAGACTGGCATGGAGTAGAACTTCTCAGTGAGAGCCCGGGGCAGTTGTCTCCACAAGCAGGGGAGATGGCAGGGAGGTCAGCAAACCCATTCCAAGATGGAAAGGTCGCGAGGGGACTGCTTTCTGGGCATACGTGGCTGGGACAGATCACCACTGCTGTTCTCACATACTTGCACACCGACTCATCACGCTGCTGGAGAAATAACCAAAAGCCACACTCTGGAATCACGGGCAGCGGCAGCCTTGTTCCCGCAATGGTCCTTTGTTGCCCTCTACTGGCCACGCTTAATACCATACCCACGGCAAAGGCGATCCCCGTAAACACACCGGAGGTACAAATTTAGAGCAGAAAGTCAACAATTGATGACTGGCACAAAGCACTGAAGGCCATTCTGGCCTACACAATTAGAACTTATCGAAACAAACAAACATCCCATTTCCCCTCCACTCTCATGCCGTAATAAACGCAGAAAACTTGTGACCTCAAAACCTGTGAGGAAGCCAGGTGGTGGTGGTGGTGGTGCATGCTTTTAATCCCAGCACTGAAGAGGCAGAGGAGGCAGATCTCTGTGAGTTCGAGGACAACCTGGTCTACAGAGTGAGATCCAGGACAGGCACCGAAACTATACAGAGAAACCCTGAAGATGGTGGCAGACCCCAACGGTCGGGTGCCCAACACTGGGCCCTCTATTTAGATGCCAGACCAAACCCCAGGTTCCTCAGTGCTTATGGACAGGGTACATACAAACTGGAGTTCCCACAGTTCTCACGACCCCCTGTCTCCCCAGGTTCAATGAATTTGCTTGAGTAGCTCACAGAATTCAGAGAATAACCTATTCTGCTGTTTCATTTATAGTGAGTGTTAAAGGCTACAAATGGCCCGAGGATGCACAGTCGTTTTTGTCTACTAGACACAGACTAGAGTCACCTGGGAAGAGGGACCTCCATCCTGTTAGCTCGTGAGCATGTCTGCAGGGCAATTTCATTGACGTGGGAGGGCCCTGAACACTGTGAGCTGGGTCACCCCTGAGCATGATCCTGTGCAGCCTAAGAGAGCAAGCTGAACACGCCATGGGAAGCAAGGAAATGCACAGCAGTCCTCCAGCTCCTGCCTTGACTTCCTGCCTTGGCTCCCCTCGATGATTGATTGTAACTTATAAGGTGAAATAACCCTTTTCTCCTCACATTGCTTTGTCATTGTGAAGGGGCCCCAAAATAGCTTGACCGCACAGCAGCCGTGACAGACTTAGGGGCCTAGACACAGTTTCTGTGACAGGCTTACTGGCAGGCAACACCCAGATCCAGGAAAAGCCTTAAGCTGATACCACCCAGGGATCTACCCAGGGGTGAGGAAGTACCTGATATCCCAAACATTCCAACCATTAGATAGGGTGGCCAGATGTCCTTGAGTCCAGCACACACCTATTTTTTGTTTTACAGATACCCCTAGACAATTGTCAGCCAATCAGGGTCCTGGACCCTGGAAATCCCCTCACTCCAACCTCTGCTATGATAAAAAAACTCTGCCCCACCTGAGTTCAGGGCTCTCTGCTCTCACCGCTGTGTTGGACAGACAGAAGGACCAAGCTCTGGAGCTTAAAATAAAGGCTCTTTGCTTTTACATGCGGGATTCGGTCTCCGTGGTGGTCTTTTGGGGGTCCCTGTGATCTGGGCCTAACAGTCATCATGGTGTTTATAACAACATAGAAGCAAACTAAGGCACCCAGCATGGTGGTTCATCCTGTAGAATCTCAGCACTCAGGAGGCAGAGGCAGAGGTTCACAAATTTGAGGCTAGCCTGGCTGGCTGGGGAGACAGTTACCTCAGAAAACCAGGGTCCAGGAATAGTGTTTGCCAATCGTGTGCAGGCCCTGAGTTTGATACTCCCTCCACCAAAAGGAAAAGAAGGGATGAAAATGAAGAGCTGTAGGGGGAAAGGGATCTGCAGCCCTCAGACCGTCTTCTGGTGTACCAACTTTTAGGAATCGGAGTATGCTCAGCTACCCAGAAACTGGTTTTATGGAGACTTCACCACACAGGTGGGGTTACTTCTAGACTGGGAGGTAAGCACAGGCCAATGAGTCCTGATTCCCCTTTCTCCAGATAGCCTCTCTTCCTTCAGATTATCGGCAGCGCCCCGCTGGATAAGGAGAGTCTTAGGACCTAATACCAGACAGCATAGGTCAGAGAATTTCTTTTTTATGTATTTATTATTGGTCAGGGAAGTTATCTATCTATCTATCTATCTATCTATCTATCTATCTATCTATCTATCTATCCATCCATCCATCCATCCATCCATCCATCCATCCATCCATCCATCTATCTATCTATCTAAGTATCTATCAGGGAAACACTGTAGTCCAGGCTAGCTCTGAACTTAGATAGTGATCCTCACCTCCTCTTCTGGAACTTTGGAATTAAAAAAAAACATACCACCTGTTCAGAGACATTTTTCTAGGCCAGCTGTATTGGTTGACCAAAATACCCGCCAGAAACAATTCCACAGAGAGAAAGTTTATTTTGGCTTAGGATTTCAGAAAGAGTTCAGTCGGCCTCAGCAGAGGCTGTACTTGGTCGTCAGGAAGGTGAGGCGGCAGCTTTCACAGGGCAGTCACCCTGGAAGCAGAAAGCCTGCTGGGACCTGGGGTTGGGGTGGGGGGAGGGCCCACAAACCTTCAAAGGCCCCACCCTAGGGCAGGGAGGCCTGACTTCCTAGAAACTCCACATCATTCAGCATTCAAAGCAGTCTCCAGTTGTTCAAGGACAGGAGCCAGTAGAGGATTAACCAGCTAAAAGAGAAGCAGACAGACCTAGAGTTTCTATGACTTTGGATCTCCCCCTTCTCTTGCTGTGTCTGCAGAGCGAACTCTTAACAGTGTCCAGCCATCCAGCTTCTCCCTGCACTGCTCCCCTAGAATTCTGGTGAAGATTGAGGGCATCTGCCAGTCACCCCAGCTCACCTTCCCACTCCTTGGGATTCCCTAACAATGTCATCCACAGTGATCTCACTACTTGTAGCGAATTCCCAACCCCCAGCGCGTGCCTTCATGGAGATAGTTCAGACGGCTATGCATTCTAAAACCAAGCTCCTAGCCCTGCCACACTTACCTTCTCTGGCTCCATTAAGGATTAAAATTCCTGAGCCTGATACCACAAACAAACTCTACATCCTCAATTCTTTTTCTTATTCCACTCAAAGAGTTGACCATCAAATCCTTTTTCTCCACCTACAATCTAGTATCTTTTTTTTTTTTTTTTCAGAATTTCTCCGTGTAGTTTTGGTGCCTATCCTGAATCTCGCTCTGTAGACCAGGCTGGCTTCAAACTCACAGAGATCCTCCGCCTGGCTCTGCCTCCTGAGTGCTGGGATTAAAGGCGTGCACCACCACCGCTCAGCACAATCTAGTATCTTAACTGATGTGTTTAGTGTTTCTTTTCCGGTTTTGAACAGGGTCTCGTATAGTCTGGACTGGCCTCAGACTTGCAGTGTAGCTAAGGTGTCCTCTACGTCTGACTAACATTTCTTTAAACCATTCACCTTTAACCACCCCCCACCCCATGCTATCTCTAGTGAGACTGTGCTGTCTCTAGCCTTTGTGGGCTGCTGTATTTATCACCACAAAATCAACCAGTCAAATAATGATACCACCCTACGGCTTACCTCTCCTTATTGTCTTCATGGTAAAAATCTAATCTCTTCTCCCAGCCTTGTGTGTTCCTGGCACATAGCACCACTTAGCTTCTCCTAGACAAGTAAGGTTCGTTTGAACGACATGACCTTGTTTTCAGTCACTGAGAGTTCTCTTTGTGTATCCCTAATCACAAAGCACAGTGTTCGGCAAAGTGCAAATCCTCAGTCAATGTGCTTTTAAAGGAACTGATCTTAAGTTCTGGGTTATTACCTACTCAATAAAACATTAACTGTAAAGTAAAATAAAAGACATCAGTAAAGAAATCCCCGGGTGGTGGTGGTGGCACACGCCTTTGATTCCAGCACTTGGGAGGCAGAGGCAGGCAGATCTCTGTGAGTTCGAGGCCAGCCTGGGCTACCAAGTGAGTTCCAGGAAAGGCGCAAAGCTACGCAGAGAAACCCTGTCTCGAAAAACAAAAACAAAAACAAAAACAAAAAAAGAAATCCCTCCCTCCAAAAATTGCTTTGCACATTTTAGATTTTTATTTGTGAGTACGTCTTCTTGCATGCATGCACCCATGTATGTGTGCAGGTAACCATGGAGGCGAGAGAAGGGCAAGCATTGGTTCACCTGGACCTTGAGATATCGGCAGGTATAAGCTGATTGGTTGCTAGGCACTGAACTCTGGCTCTTTGCAAGAGTACTAAGTGCTCTTACCCTCTAAGCCGTGTCTCCAGCCCCCCACCCCCAAATTGCATTTTATTTTGGAAATAGGAGGCAAGCAGTTGCAACCTGGTGTTCTTGTTGTTTTCTCAGCCCTTTTCGAGTTTTTTTTTTTTGACGTGTGTATCATACACACATACACACACACACACACACACACACACACACACACACACACACACACAAACACATTTGTGCATGTGTACCTGAGGACACATGGGAACTTTGTAGGAATCATTTTGCTCCATTTTCCTTGTGGGTCTCTGGGACCAAACTTGGGTCTCAGTCTCGGTGGTGAGTACCTTTACCCTCTGAGCCACCTCCCTGGCCTCCTTTCCAGTGCTGTTCAGTCAGTGCTTACAGAGGACCAAGAGAAGACAGCTAGTGGAGATCTTTCTTTCCTCTGTGTGGAGTCTGTACCTCTTATGAGATAGAGATATAAACATCGGACCTCTTATGAAATATAGATATAGACACCGAACCTCTTATGGGATATAGATAGACACAGCACTTCTTATGGGACACTAAAAGGCAGATAAATCAGTGTGGTCTTTATAAACGGTAGCACCATACCTCAGGATTCCCACAGACAATGACAGCTGAACACGCATTTTACCTAGTAGAAAAGCCCCATGCATGACTATGGAAGTCAGTGAAGAGTTGAGGTTAGCCAAACTCAGATCATATGAGTTCCTGTATTTGTGACTTAATTTAGAAACCATGCATGAGGGGAGGAGGGAAAAAAAAAACTGACCTCTTAAAACTTACAGTTCTCGTATTCATTGTCATAATGGAAATCCCCAGATTTCTCAGAAATACGTTTTACTAACTTTAATAAAACCAATTGCCAGAAATTACTGTGAATTCGAGGAAGTATCTGATGTTACTGTCCTAAAGGGCGATGACCTGGACAGTTAAGTTATTACAATGGTCACTAAGGACTTCAGTGTTCTGTCTCTTTGAGAAACTGACATATCTAAGCCTTCTCTGTTTCCTTCAAATTCATTTTCTGTTACTATTTATATATGTGGGTGTTCACCCTGCATGTATGTCCATGTACCACATTCATGTGCAGGTCAGAACAGGGGATCAGATCTCTTGGAACCGGAATTACAGATAGTTGGGAGCTGTCAAGAGTGTGCTTGGAATTAAACCCAGGACCTATGGACGAGCAGCTACTGAGCCTTCTCTCCAGCCCCGAAGATTTATTTTCATTTTACTTTATGTGTGTGGGCATTTTGCTTGCATGTATACCTGTGCAACACATGCATCCTCTGGAACTGGAGGTTGTGAAACCCCCTTCTGATTTCCATGCTTAAAGCCATAGTTGCTCTTATGAAATACTGATAGGCACAGCCTGTGGTGGCACACGCCTTTAATCCCAGCACTTGGGAGGCAGAGGCAGGTGGCTATCTCTGTGAGTTTGAGGCCAGCCTGGTCTACAGAGTGAGTTCCAGGAAAGGCTCCAAAGCTACACAGAGAAACCCTGTCACAAAAAAACAAAACAAACAAACAAAAAAGCCGGGCGGTGGTGGCGCACGCCTTTAATCCCAGCACTCAGGAGGCAGAGCCTGGTGGATCTCTGTGAGTTCGAGGCCAGCCTGGGCTACCAAGTGAGTTCCAGGAAAAAAAAAACAAAAAAAGAAATACTGATAGGCCTCTGATGTGTATGAATGTATAAAGTCAGGTTGTCTTGGTAATAGAAGTAAACTAGTATCAAGCACTCACTTTCATATATTGTTCCAATAGACATTTATTAATCAATTAATCTGTGTCAGTTATTGGCGCTGGAGACAGAAATTGAACAAATTCAGTTTCTGCTCTCCAAGACTTTAGAGTGCATTTGGTAGGATAACACGTCAACACTGTGGACTGTGAAACAGAAGCTGCCCTGGGATGGAAAGAAACTGGCTCAAAGGTCAGACATCTGGGTTTGTAGGCAAATGGCTCAGCAAATGGTTATGAAGCACCCACATCTGGCTCCACATCTGGACGACCATGAGTGAGCCTATGTACAGGAAAACAGCCTCGAGGAAGAACAGACTTAAGCGGAGGAAGATTCCAAAGAGAAACACATCCACATCTTCGGGGGTTAGCGAGTGAGCACGGATAGCTTAGGTGCCAGGAAAACCAAGCTCAGTGTGTGTAAGCTCTATTTTACTCCAAAACATGTTGAGGACGTGTTGAAACTTCCCGGCTTTCTAAACTGAAGAGTGACATTCCTGCATTTCTGGGAAGAGAGCCCAGAACTCACTCGCAGCTGAGGGACCTC